GAGGAGGAGAGAGAGAGAGGAGAGAGAGAGAGAGAGAGAATACCTCACAAAAGCCCTACATTGAAAATAACAGCTATGGTAGTACCTGAGTTTTTTTGGATATCAGCCAGCCAGACAGAGAGATAGATGGCACTAACTTGACTGACTCGGCTGACTGACTTATTACTTCATTTTTCCCGATAGAACGGTACCGAGTAATAACAACAATAACAACAACAACAACAACACACATACATGCATAGAGATATACCCTAAGTCCAAGAGTCTCTCTCTCTCTTCTTTGTCGAATAGGGAGCGAGGGAGAGGTCGGTAGGGGCATACCTATCGGGAGACGTCGGTCGGGAGAGGTTGGGAGGGGAGGGGAGAAGGGGAGGGGAGGGGAGGGAAAGGTAAGGTATAGTAAGGTGTTTAAACATTCAACAACAACAACAGCAGCAGCAACAAAACAGTTTTAGGTATGTGTATACGACAAAAGGACCCAAGAACCAGAGTATTGGGTCTCTTCTCTTTTTTGCTTGGTTTGTAGAGTAGGGTAGGGCAGGGCAGAGCAGGGCAGAGCAGAGCAGAGCAGGGCAGGGCAGGGAGAGGGTCGGTCAAGTTAGGGTTGGGTTGGATTGGGCGGGAAGAGAAAAAAAAGAGCCTATCTGATGAAGAAATTGTCAGGGGGGAGGGCCTGGAGGGGGGGGGGGGGACTTGTAAAGTATGCAAAGCAAGCAAGAAAGTGTAACGAAGGAAGTAAAGGAAGAGGAAAGTTTGACAAGGTTCGGTTGGAATGGGAAGATGGAGAGGGAGAGAGAGAGAGAAGACGAGAGGAGGGAAGAGGAAGAGGAAAGCAGAGGTTCTCGCAATGCCGTATTCAACTCTTCTCCTATATTTTCGTCAAAACATCTCCAATATTGATTCCCCGACCAAAAAGGCACAACAGACTAGCTTCTCCCCTCCCCTTCCCTCTCCTTGTTCCGTTCCAGATGTGCGGTACAAACGGCGATGTTTGCTTTTTGAATTTTCGACCTTCGGCGACTTTGAACAAAAATCAAAATTTCAACATCGCCTATACTTCTCTCTCTCTCTCTCTCTCTCTCTCTCGCGTACTACGT